ACAGAGCACACGCACACAAGTACATACCTACAGCACGCAAAACATACACACACACCCTCCCTCTCCCTCTTTCCCATCCCTCGAATTGCGCGCAACTTACACTTGCGCGGTGGTGCCTGCGTCGGATTCGCCAGTTGTTGCGAAGAAGCGGTGATCAGACACGAGCGCCATCTGGCACGTGGTCTTGGTGGGGTCGCCCTGAAACCCGCGGCGCTGCCGGCGCTGGTATTGCCTGCAGGCAACGAAAGGTGTGTCGGCATGGGAAGCGTGGTCAATGTGGGGTTGGTGTTTGATAGTGGTGTTGCAAAGGTGGGTCGTGTTCGCACACACACACACACACACACACACACACACACACACACACACACACACACACACACACACACACACACACACACACACACACACACAAACAAACAAGCAAACAAGCAAAGAAACAAACAATTTGCTGTCGCCAAGCACAAGTACGCGAGTATCTCGCACATCCCACAACAACAACAACCCTCTCCCGCATCCCACAACAACACCAATCCCCTTCTACATCCCACCACCACCACTTGACACGTGTGTGCTCACTTCATGTATTTGTGGTCTGCCCGGCGCATGCGATCAAGGATGGCCTCAATTTCGCTGTCGTGCGAATGCGAGTCAACGCCACACACCTGAGACACAGGCGACAGCATTGCGTTGGTGGTGACAGTGGTGGTGATGAGAATCATACACGCATTAGTGGTCAGGATGTGGAGGAGATGCGTGAGGGAGCAATGAAACTTGGCTTACTCATTTCCTTGGTTGGTACTTCAACCCATCACCACAACAAGACCAAAACAAGACCAAAACAAGACCACAGTAACGAAGCGCCAACGCAATGCACCCCAATGACCTTTGCGCTCATGCATTCTCCACCACCACCACCACCACCACCACCACCATTGCGCACCTTGCTATGGTCGTGGTCGTGTGGGCTGGTGAGGTTGACACTGGAGGCCCAATATGCGACGTGGCTCGTGGCAATGTCACGGGAGAAGCGGTGTGCCGGCTCCAGATACAAGATGTCGCCACCTGTTCGGATGGTGCCCTTGAATACGCCGTCCGTCACCGTTGCCCGCACATCACTGCCTTCCTCACCTGCACGCGTGGACGAGAGGCGTGTATGTGTGTGTGTGATTGGGAGGAGGAGGGAAGGTGTGCATGATGACAGTTGCCGTTCGCAAGAACACACCACGTGTCGCGCGTCCCAACGAACATCGCACGAAAGAAGCAGAAGCAAAAAAACAACCAAACATGCACAAACAAACGCACGTAACACGCACACGCACACAAACAGACAAACAAACACACGCACACGTACACGCACACACACGCACACAAACAAACACACGCACACAAACAAACAAACAAACAAACAAACACACGCACACAAACAAACAAACAAACAAACAAACAAACAAACAAACAAACAAACAAACAAATACGCACCCACTGGAACTCACCAGCCACCTCTCCTCGGAAGAAAATGTGCATGTCCATACGAGCCAACTTGACCCCTTCATCTGTGTGGCGCTGTTTGTGATGGGGTGACAGGAGCAAGGTGAATATGAGACTGCACGCAATCTACATGCGTCCGCAAGGGCAACGCGTCGCTTTCATACACGCACAAACACACGCACACACATACGTACACCCCCCCCCCCGCACACACGAACCTCGATGGTGAAGCCGTCCCCAAACATGTCGTGGGACATGCGCATGTCCAGAACATAGTCCTTTCCAAAGGCAGAGAATTCCACCTGCACACGTGGAACAACGACCAAAGCATGACGATCAATGAGGTGAGCAAAGCAATGTAAGTGCCGTGATTGAATGAACAAAAGTGCAACGACTACATCACAAACCCACCAAAGCACACACACACACACACACAACCATACGCACAAATGCAGTATGATACCTGCATGGGACCCTGTTGGGTGTGCTGTCGTGCGCGACGATGGCGGTGCTGCATGTCATTCACGTCCAGATGAACCTGTTGGAAAAGGTGCATGCGATTGAATGTCAAGAGCAATGGCTCAACGGAAGAAGCGATCATGAACAGAATACAGAGTACAACAAAGCACACCCATACACACACACACACACATTGGCGTACCTCATCGTAGTCGCTGATGGTGGGTGAGAGCGGCTTGCCAGCGGCTGTGACCAGGCCAACCAAGCCAAGCACAAGCACCGCCGCCGCAACAGCGGCCGTAACGCCGCCAACACCGCCAACACCGCCAACAGCCTGCATTTCTCTCTCCTGTGTCCGACCTCCCGTCTCCCTCGCGCTTCGTGCCAGGACACACTGCCTGATACGCTTGGAACTGGTGATGCAAAAGCAGAGGTGATAAGCAAGCACAGGAGCGTCGTCACACACAACAAGGAAAAAACCACACCCTCAACAGCCCTCTGCAAAGGCAGCGAAAGCAGCGCAGAGTCCTCCGCCAGTCCAAGAACGCGATTTTCGCTGACTCAGCAGTACTTGATACAGATGATGACGTCATTTAAGTGGGCTAAACGCACGCAGCGATGCAAGAACGCAACAAAAAGTCGTCAGCAATCAGCAAGCAACACACGTTCAAGTTGGTGGGGTGAGACAGAGGAAGAAGTCGTGAGTGTGTCTGTGCGTGTGTGTGTGTGTGTGTGTGTGTATGTGTGTGTGTGTGTGTGTGTTGTTGCCTGCCACAATTAATTCGCTTGCCATCGCGATCTGTTTTGCTCTTGCTGTGAGGGACGTTGGTGTGTGATTCTTGCGCACACACAGACACACAGACACACACACACACATACATACACACACACACACAGACACACACACACTCACTCACTCACTCACTCACACACACACAAACACACACACTCACTCACTCACAAACACACACACACACACACACAAACACGCACAGCCGGCATATGCATGATGCGGTGGTTGCTGTCGCTGCTGCATGTGGTGGCGGCCATCGTCTCCACGGCGTCTTTGCCAGCGAGGGCCGACACACGTGTGGAGGTGCGCGTGAAGGGACGCGAGCTGATCCAACGCCTGCCCATCCTGGAGGCGGGAGCGGCGTATGCAGTTACCAACATCGACGCTGCTCTCCAGCCATATTACAATGTGCAGCTGCTCACCCCGACCACAACACCAGAGCTTGAGGCCCAGGACAGTGAGCTGTGCATCGTAACAACAATCTCAGAGATATCTTTCACCCATTCAGGTTGGTGTGCGTGCGTGTGTGCGTGCGTGTGTGCGTGCGTGTGTGTGTGTGTGTGAGTGAGTGTGTGCGTATGTGAGTGTATGTGTGCGTATGTGTGTGTGTGTGTGTTTGTGTGTGTGTGCGTATGTGTGTGTGTGTGTGCTCGAGCGTGTGCGACCGCAAATTGTGCCATAATTGGTTTGATGGCCATCCGTGTCACACCATTGTAACCGCAACCACCGCGAACTTGCACACACACATGCATACACACACACGCGCATTCGTGTCGCGTAGACTGCACGGTATTGGATTCGGAGGTCAACTCTGTCTGGGGGTCGCGAGTGGTTCAGCTGCTCAAGGCCTGGCACTGGGACTCCCTCGTCGCCCTTTCGTCCAAGTGCTCGCCCGCTGACTTGACCTCTGGTCAGCTCAACCTTGTCACACAGCTCCGCAACGAGGTGTGTGTGTGTGTGTCATACAATGGAACGCAACTGAGGAGTATGCGTGTGTGTGTGTGTGTGTGGTTGCGCGAGTGCATGTTCCATCCCTGCCTTTACGTTTGGGTGCGTCGAGCGCGTGCGTGTTGTTGAACAAGCGCTGACTGTCTTCAGCCTGCGTACATCCCTCGTGACTTTCCTTGACCGCTTCACATGTGTTTCATGTGTTGCATATGTGTGGGCGAGTGGTGTTGTGGCACCATCTCACCACCACCACCACCACCACCTACATCGCTTGCGCTGTCTTGTCATCCATGTGTTTTCATGTTGCGTCAGGGCATTGAGGTTCGCTTTCGACAGGATGCTCTGAGCGCTACGCCGTGCATTGAGCCATGGCGAAGCAACCACCACATCGGCGTCCTCTTTGCGAACGGTGTAGATGAAACTGTTCAGGCTGTCATCATTGCACACAACGCAGGCTTTATGAAGAAAGGGTGCGTCCATGCGCACATGTGTTTGAAGCTGTATGGATGTGCGTGGATGTGTGTGTGTGTGTTTGCTTGTGTGTGTGTGTGTGTGTTTGCGTGTGTTTATGTGTACCCGCGCACGCGTGTGTATGCGTGCATGCATGTATGTGCATGTTGTTTTGTCCCTTTGTGCATGTATGTGCATGTTGTTTTGTTCCTTTGTGTGTGTGTGTGTGCGTGTGCGTACACTGATGTTTAACCAAGGCCAATGTTTTCCACCACGCTCAACCTGATGACCACTCCACCATTCTCATGCCGTCTCTCTCCGTCATCCTACGTTATCCCCCGCTTCCAACATGCACATCGTGCCCAGGAATGTGCTGCTGTGGCTGCCGTATCTGCTGTCAGCGGACATCAATGCCGTTGTGCAGCGACTGCTGGAAAGCGGGCACGGCGAAGTGGCGGTGAGCGGTGCACACATTCACGCGTGTATGTGCGTGACTGTGTGCACAAGGGTGCTGTGTGTGGATATGTGCGGTGGAGGGATCCTGGTATCGGCTACACTGTGTAGTTTTGAGGCCAAGGGGTGGCAATCATCCTGCACTCACGCTACGCACACACACACACACACACACACACACACAACCCACGATGCCAGACTGCGCTTGAGGCGTGTACGCTGGTGCTGACATCGCACGGGGGCGGCTGGGCTGCAGCCAACAGCCGCATTGATCACGATGCACTTCGCGCCGCCACGGCAAACATTATCGATGTACGAAACCACTTTGACACCACGCTGTTCGACACCATCGCGGGCATGGTGCGTGTGCGTGTCAGCATTGGTCTTCGCCTGACCGGGAGCACGCCTTTGTTGCTGCCAGCACTGCCATTGATGGGCGTACCCACCACATCGGTTGTCGTGTCCACCCTGCCCCTCCACGTGTTGCGGCCTGGCGAGTACATCCTGCAGGCAAACACAAAACGCGTCATTGTCTCCGCGCCAGCCAACGAGGTGCGCGCTCACGTGTGCGTGCTTGTGCGCGCGTTTATTGGCTTTGCCAAACATGCGTGCCCGTACGTGTGCCTGTGTGTATCGTTGCGTATGTGCTTGTGCCCGCAGCTCTTTTGTATTTGAGCGTCCACGCGTTCACACCCTTGATTTCTGTCCCGCTCCTCCTGCCTTCGTATCCACATGCACACACTTGTTTTGTTCTGCGCCATCACCGCTCCCTCTCACTTCATTGTATTACACCACGCACCAACATCACCTCCCGCTCACCTGATCATATCACAACCAACATCACCTCCTGCTCACCTGATCATATCACACCACAACCTCACCTCACCACGTGTAGACGGACAGCGGGCTGACATACTTCAATGCCCTGATGGAGGAGTGGGACGAGCCCGTGTTGCTGCTTGATCGTGCCCATCTCAACCTCTTTCCGCACGCCCGCTCTCCAGTTGCCGTCGACACCATTGTCACATTTGAGAGGTGCGCTCGCTGTCCTTGCATTTGTCCGCTGCCACACGCTGACTCCGTGATAGGCAGTGGCGGTGTTCATCGCTGGAAGGGGATTGTGATGTGGTGTAACTTGCGCATGCAACACTCACACACCCACACAATCACACACTCACACACATCCACACACACACACACGCTCTCACAAACATACATCCACACACACACACACACTCACAAATATACACAAACACACACCCTCACACACACACGCATACAAACGCACACACAAAAACACACGCTCATACCACACGTAGGTCTGCGTCCTTCTTTAGCGACGTGTTGAATCCAATTGACGCATACATGACTGCGGCGTTGGAGTTTATGACACTGAAACACCCGCACATAGCTCTAAACGTGCGAACCGTGGACGCGTACAGAACAGGCTGTGCAGAGGGCATTTACGAGGGGGCAGTGCCCGATGTGGTGATAGGCGCCGGCAGCAGCCACTGTACGCTGGAATTTGGTCGCATCACAGCACGGGATGGCGTGCCAACAGTAGCACCCGGTACAGCAACAGCCCTCCTCTCGAACAAGCAGGTCTACCCCACCGTCTTCCGGCTTGCCCTGCCCACGACAATCCAGGGGCAGGTCGCAGGTCGCATTGCGCAACAGCTGGGCATCACATGTGTCACGGTGGTCTACGACAGCGTGCCAGCGCACATGGAGCTTGCCGCTGCGTTTGTTGACGTCATGCGAAAGGCCGGGATTGAGGTGCGACTCGAGCTTCCGTTTGGCAACACAACTTCCATCCGCGATATGCTTGATCGCATCATCGAGGCCGGCTCCCCCAACGTCTACATCTCAGGGTCAGTTTGTGATGTGTGTGCTTGTGTGTTGTTGTGTGTGCGCGTGCGTTGTTGTGTGTGCGCGTGCGTTGTTGTGTGTGTCTTGTTGTGTGCGCGTGCGTTTGTGTATGTGTGTTGTTGTTGTTGTGTCTCGTTGTCGTTCATTGTACTCCTCCCCATGCCACCTCCGAAGCTAGCAAGACCTGCTGTATCTCAACCACACCTGCAAACACCACAATACGAATCCTCACACTCCCTGAAATTTTCCCATGTATTCAACTGGCAGGTACACGCCTGACGTGAGCAACGTGTTGGACGAGGCGTTGGCACGCGACATGCTGGCCGAGCCGTGGCTGTGGATATTGGGGCACAGTGCGTTTGCTGCAAGCACGTTTTCTTCGGCTGTTGTGCAAGCGCTGGACGGGCGCATGGTCACAACACTCGCCCCTGACACGGCGTTTTCGAGTGACCTGGGCCAGGAGTTTCTGGCGTTTCAGTCCTCCACACAGCACTCGGCCTATCGCGATGTTGCGACCACACGCAAGTTTATCATTGAGTTTGCGGACGCGGTGCACATGACAGCACATGTCGTGGACGAGCAACGGTACACGTATGGGTTTGCCTTTGACCAGCAGCGCCGGCACGCTGCCATCCTGGCTGGGCTTAAGGAGCTCACACCCGAGAATCCCCTGCCAACATTCTCGCAGCCGTTCACCGCATTTGACGCGAGCCATGATGCGCTGGGCGAGCTGCAGCCTGCATTCTTCGTTGGCGGCGGGTTTGTGGCGCTCAGCAACACCACCACTAACGAAGGCTTCACCATCAGTGCACGCGTTGCTGCCGGCGTGCCTGCACTTGACGTGTGCTACGTGCCGCTCACTGT